AACTACCTACTTTAAGCAAGCTAGTAATAAGAAGATCAGACCTATACAAGTAAGCAAGATATATAGCATACAATCAGCATCAAGAGACAATAGAACATTTATTAGAATGCTCTGGTTATAAGATTGAGATTCTAGGACATGACAAAAAGGATCTAAGACTTTTCTTAAAAAATTCAACAAGTTGTATTAAGAACATAAGAGAGAAATGAATAAAAAAATAGTACAACTAACAGTCGATAATAAAAGAGAAAAAGATAAATTAGATAAATAGGCCTCTAGATTAATAGAATCAGCATCGCAAACCAGTTCAAGCATTCTTAACTTTTATACAGGATTAGTAGAAGGTGATACAATCAAAGAAGCTGCTAACCTAAATTGTCATAAAAAGAAGCTGAGAACAATGGCAAAAAAATTGATTCTAAAAATACAAAAGAAGATTTGCAATCAGATCTGAAAATAAGTTTGGAACATAAGATATGAAAAAATTATTGAATAAAAACAAGAACAAAGAATTGATAAAAGAACAAAATATAAGAAATATCAGAAAGTAAAAAGGCAAGACTCGCAAGATAATCCCAGTTACAAAAGTATAAGGCAAAGAAAGAGAATGAAAACAAAAATCTTGTAAAAATTATAAGAAATGAAATTAAATATGGGATGAAATATTGTAATTGAGTTTTGATTCTTATCAGAATCTTATACAGTGATCTGTAGCAGTAACTTACAGGTAATAATATTAAAAGTTGAAAAGGTTTCCACCCGAACTACTAATAAAACAATAAATTACTTTCAAAGTTGTACTTAGAGTCCTAAATAAATATAAGACTTTGATGAGTGAGTGAGTTAGAAATTTAGCTTTAGTGACATACTGTATATATAATGTATAGCTTATAATTGTTTAATAAAGTACATATAACTAGCCTGACAGAGGGTTAAAAAAAAAAAAAAAATAGATATTATTGTTATATAGTTGTATTGTATTATAAATGATCACATAAGCAAATTAATTTTGTTCTTAATACTATTTCAGTAACTATTATTAAGTTTACTAGCCTAAAAATCTAAAATTTATTATAAGTTATTTATTTATTATAGTTATATATAAAATTATTATTTAAAAAAAATTAAAACTAGATATGCTTTTAAAAGTAAAGGTTCTTAATAAATAATAAGTTTTTTTAGATAAGAAAATCAAAATCAAGAATAAATAAGTTTTTTATATAGAAAAAGAAATAATATTTTAATAAGATATTCCTTATTAAGAAAAGATCTTAAAAAATATTTTTTTTCCTATATTTCAGTGGTTTGATAAAATATATGGCAATAACGATAATGTGATAAACTAAAAAGATTTTTATCCAAAGTTTATTAAGTGAAGTATTGTTTCCAAGATCAAACTTAGAAGCTATTATTGCTTAAGTGAAATGTATTTATGTTTTCAATTGATTAATAAACTACAATCTAGCTAAGCTGCAGGTATTAAAAAAAAATAAATAAAGATTACAAATGATCTATATATCCAAAATCTCTTTCTTTTCAACAACCTTGTAGTGAATCTTTCTAGATTATCTTTATTAATTTCTATTCTTTAAATATATTGATTGGAATAAATAAAATAAAATACAAAGTGAAAAAAAATTTTTTTTCGTACGTGTGTCTAAGGATTTACATAAGTTTTTTTTTTTTTGATTTAAAATGAGTAAAAAAATGCCAACTAATGTCACGTCTATCCAATCGATCCCCGAACCAGAAACACCACTCACAATGACGATTAAAGAGTATTTTGCGAAAAAAGATTACAAGTTTTACCTTGCAGCATCAGCTACTATAATTTTAGCTGGAGTTGGTTACTACTTACTGACTAATAAATCACAAAAACCTAAAACACCTAAATCATTGCACCGCCAAAAGAAGAATAGGGCTTCGAAATCGGGAACAACTGGGTCAGGTTCTCTTACAGGCAAGAAATGTTGTTAAGATTCGGTTCGTTCGGCACATTAATCAAATTTAATAAGCTAAAAGGACAATTAACTTGTTTAGGAAGGGATAGGAGTGTCAAGAACAGAGATGAAGTTGAAGCCGAAGAATTTGAAAAATATAGTATTGAGCAAATCAATGCTTTACCCAAGGAGGTTGAATTATTTATTATTAACCTCGGTCATTCGTGTTATTTCTAACTTAATAGTCAACGGTAAATTTTTACAGAGACGCGACACAGCTTCACAACAACTCAAAAAACAAGGGAATGTTGAATTCGGCCAGAGCAATTACGAAAAAGCGATAAGATTGTATACACAGGCACTGGCATTTAATCAAGATCCTGTCTTTTACAACAATAGAGCTGCATGTTATTACAACACACACGAATTTCTTAAAGTTATTGAAGATTGCAACAGTGCGTTGCAGATGAATCCTTACTATGTCAAAGCGCTAAATAGACGTGCAATGGCATATGAAAAAACATCGCGTTTTGAGGAATCTTTGCATGGTATAAATTTATTATTGATTTTTTTTTTTAGCATTAAGCAAGAAATTAACCAAAATTTGCGATAGATTATACAGCCGCTTGCATTATTGGTGATCTAAGAAATGAAAATGCAACAGCTTCAATCGATCGTCTCTTGAAAAAAGTCGCCAGCATCAAAGCGCAAGAAATTATCAAGGTTTATATATGATATTCTGTATATAATTATCAACAATTGTTTTCATCTTCACATATTTTCTTGTTTCTTAAAAAAGAACAGAATAAAGCGTTTGCCATCATCAAGATTTATCTCCTCATACTTAGATTCATTTCGACAAGGTTTATACTTATCTGCATACATATATAATGTTTCGTGATCTAAAAAAGATTTTTTGCATTAGAAACTGCCGATGATGACGATCGTACTACAGAAGAGCTAGAACACGCGAGTTCAGAAAAAAGTGCAGATGATTTCTTTAAATTAGCAGAAAAATTGGTGCAGCAACATCGATATGAGGAAGCAAGGAAGATGTATGAGGAAGCTATAAATCGTGGATGTACCAATATGCCAAAAGCTCTTAATATGCGCGGAACATTTACTTATCTGATGGGCGATTCTCAGAATGCGTTAGTGGATTTCCAAAGGGCTCTCGAGTTAAAACCAGATTATGTACAACTTCATGTAAAACGTGCTACAATTTACATGGAACAAGGTTTGTTTATAGCTTATCGAGATAACTTAAGTTTGAAATAAATTGATCACGTATGATTTCAAAGGTAATATGAGCGATGTATGGAAAGAGTTTGACGAGGCCGTCAAAATAGACACAAACGATCCTGACATCTATTATCACAGGTTTGTCTTTTGATAACAATTAACTTTCTTTATTTAAAGAACAATTTTAACTATTAAATATTGAATATAGAGGACAAGGTTTGTGTTTATAAAATATAATATAATTATTGGGTTATTATATTGCACTTCTAATATTATTTCTTGCAATTAGTCTATTTTCTTTCTGCTGAATTTGATCTGGCTGTAAAAGAATATCAACGCCGAATTGAACTTGATGCCGATTTCGTTTTTGCCTACATTCAGCTTGCCATTGCTCAATATAAAAGTGGGTCGGTTACAAAGGGAATGGATACATTTTTGCAGGGGCTACAAAAATTTCCACAATCTGCTGAAATGCATAACTATTATGGAGAGCTTCTAGCCGATCAAAAACGCGTTGATGAAGCAATAGAACAATTTAATAAAGCCATTGAGCTACAACAAGTAAATTTCGCATTGCCATTTGTCAACAAAGCAATGCTTAGTCATCACGTGATAGGCGATTCGGCTCAAGCCGAAGAGTTCTGTCGCCTTGCACTGGAAAGTGAGAATAAATCCCTTTTTAGGTTATTTTTATTCATTTCTATATTTATAACAATGAATTTCTTATATTGTCGTAGTCGAACCTGAAAGTGATATTGCTAATACAATTATGAGTGAAATATTATTTGCTAGAGGAAACTTGGAAGCTGCGTTGCAGTGCCTCGAAAAATATCAAGAAGTGGCACGTACTGAGGCTGAACTTCAAGGAATTTTAGAGTATGCAGAAGTAAGTAATTTTTACCGTGATTACAATATATTACTTCTTTATTTTAATTATTCTGGTTTTCATTAGGCTGCGCGATCTCATATTGCATTCAAGAAAAGTTATCCTCAATTAGCTGATCGTTTAGTTGCAACCAATCGATAAATGTTAACTGGAAATACATATTTTATTTTATATCTTTCCATATTATGTTAAAAATAATAATAATCTATAACCAGTATATTAGGAATATAAATTTTATATTCGAAAAAGTTGTAATAAATTTTATCATGTGCTTTTTTGAACATGACTTATTTTTTATATAGTATATAATTATAAAAGGTAATAATGATAGTGATAATAATTTTTTTTAAAAAAAAGATCTTTGGTTAGGTTAGTTATTTGTGCTTTATAAACATTTGTAAAGTGTACATAATTATGTATTGTTAAAGCTAATTTTCTAACTCATTTGTTCTAGCTAATTAACTTTAAGTACAACTTTAAAAATAATTTTTTGTTCTATTAGTAATTTAGGTGAATATCCTTTCAACTATGATCATAATTGCTTGCAGGTTACTACTTCAGATAATAATAATAATAATAATTTTTTTTCTAACTCCTTGTTAGATTAGCTTTATATGCTTTATTTGTTTATTTATTTTTTTGAAACCCTCTATTAGGCTAGACATGTATATTTTATTAAACATTTGTATACTTTATCTTGAGAAATGTATTGCTAAAGTTAAATCACTATTTAACTTACTCATTGCTATTTTAAAATTTACCAAAACTCTAAGTACAACTTTAAAAGTAATTTATTACTTCATTAGTAGTTCAAATAAAAATTTTTTTAACTACTAACTTTATTATTTACAGGTCATTACTGCAAATTACTTTATTGTTTTGACTGAGTTCAAAATCCAAGTACTTCATTTTATATTTTACACTTTTTGTTAAAATTTCTTGAAAACTTTTATTTTCTGGATTTTCTTCTTTTAGTAATAGTTCTCTTCTTTTTGATAGTATAGTTTTCTAGTTTGAAGAATATAAAAGTCTTTTTGTCTTGTTCACTCTATCAATTCCTTATATTTGTTTCTATTTAATTAATTATCTTCTTATATTTCTTGTTCCAGATTTTTTTTTAGACTTGATTGTAAACTTTTTTTTGTATCTTTATTATTTATTTTCTTGGTTTTTTTCCTATATGTTTTTCAGGATATTTTAGAATTATCATTTCTAGAATAAGTTTATTTTTTATAAAATTAGACAAAAACTTAAGAAATTTTAACTAGTTTTTAAATCTATTTCATTAGTCTAAAAATTCACTTAGCAAGCTTTTCTAGTTCTTTTTGATTATTAATAATTAGTCAGATACTTTTTTCTTTAACTTTCTTTTTTTTTATAAGAGCTTTTTGAAGTTTTTAATAATTTTATTTACTTTTTATTCTATACTATTTATAATTGATTCTTATAGATTAAATATTCTAGTAAGTATTCTATAGTTTTTTCTTATTGACTACATATAATAATCTAAGCTTATCACCTCATTTTCACTGAAACTGCTAAGATTACTGAGATTGTTGAGATCACCAAGCCGACATTATAATATTGAAATGATATTACAATTAAATCATATAGATTATCTGAACTTGTTCGACATAAATAATAATTAACTATCAAATTATAGTGAATAAGGTATCAATCATTTCTTTTTATTTTATTTTATTTCTTTTATTTTTCATTTATTATTAGCTGTATATTACATAAATTGCCTGAACCATAAGTCATATAATTTATATATTTTTTTAGCCCTATGTATTTTATATTTATTTTGCGCTACTCTAAAATATATAAAAAGACTGCTTTTCAATCTTAATAATGATAACTTTTTTATACATTAAACTCATTACCTAAAAATTCACTGACTCTGATACATCTATTTCAAGTCTTTTACAACTTGGTAGCAGTGGATTAACAAGATATTCTTCTCCTTGTCACATATATACATATCTGAAATTCTATCAAAATAAATATCGAACAATTTGCACACTTTATGTAACAGTTTAACAATATCATGACTACTATGATCAAGTAAATAAAGGAAGACAAGAGCAAAGAGAAGACTGCCACAAATGGTTCCTCTTTTTCTACAACCACCATCCCAAAGATCATATTGAGAATCCTTACCTTCAAAAAAGAACCAGGAGAAAATGCTGAGGTTTGGTTACATCAAACAAAGAATATCTTGAGAGCTTAAGAAGTCACTAAGGAAGAACAAATAATTCACTATGCTACCACAGAATTTGAAGATGCCACTTTACATTGATTTGTTAACAAGGTCAAGGATTTCACTTTACCTGTCTTCCTTTCCTAAAGTGAATTTAAGAAGGAACTCAAGAATACCTTTCAGCCTCCTCACTATCAGCAGTATCTATATATACAGTTGAAACACCTGTATCAAACAGGAACTGTTCAAGAGTACTCTATCCAGTTCAAAAATATAGTAAGCCAAATTGACACTATGGAACAATTGAATCAAATTGCTTATTTAATTGATGACCTAAAGCCTGCAACATATATGAAAATGAGTTATCAAGCTCCCAAAATATTGGATAATTTATAGAAATTAGCAATCAGGTATGACATCACCATGTTTGGAATTGGAAAGTCTGTCAATGAAAGAAACACAACAAAAAGACCACCAATCAACAACAACTGCTATAAAGAAAACTGCCCTGTTTAATTGGATCAAGCTGAAATCTGATGACATAATTACAATTATAATAATTACACCCAACACCCTAGAAGAAATAATAATGTTGAAAGAAAAACTATTACCTGCTATAACTATGGGAAGGAAGGACACATCACTCGTAAATACAGAAGCTCACCAAAAGTCAAGGGGAATAATATTGAAGATACCTGGTGCACCCCAGATACTGAATTCATTCAAATAAAAGAAAACAAGAAATATTGTTACATTTCAATGGGAAAATTAATGAACATAAAGTCTGAATCCTCCTGGATAATAGAGCATCAAAAAATTTTATCAATAAAAAATTTGTTGCAAGACAACAGCTGCTACAAAGGAATATTCCCATTCACCGTAGAACTTGTTAATAAAAGAAAGAAGAAAGATACTACTGAAGTTAATATTAAGCAACTAGAATTGAATACCTATTGTACTACTGGAATCTCTACTCAAGTTCTAAGCCTGTAAAAATATAATGTCATATTTGAAAAACCCTGATTGTATTATACCAATCCTAATATCAATTGAAGAAGCAATATCTTCATCTTTCAATATGAACCATGTACCATTACTGTCAATGCTAGCCTATACAGAACTAAGCAAGAACCTAAGTGCCAATCTCTTTTTATTTCAGACATTAATTTACAAGAATTCCATCTACTGATGAACTATTGGCTATTTGTGTCACTACTGCTAAGGAAGACACACCCAAGAAAACCAAGTTTGCTGCTGAAAAAGTTGCTGTTATCAAGAAATTTGCTGATATAATTTCTTCTGAATTGTCAAACAAGTTGTTATCCTGAAGAACCATTGATCATATTATAGATTTGCTGCCTAGAGCTGAACTATTCTCCAAATCTACTTACTGCCTCTCATATATAAAGATGGATAAACTTAAGAAACAACTTATCAACCTACTTGCCAAAGGATTCATTAGATCTAGTATCTCCCCATTTGATGTTCCTATGCTTTTTGTGTATAAAAAGGAAGGAACATTGTGCCTCTGTGTGGATTATAGAGTCTTAAACAAGATCACCATCAAGAATTGATATTTACTACTATATATAGAAGAATTAATGAAGTGCTTAGCTAGTATCAAATATTTCTCAAAGATAGATCTCTACTCTGATTATTATCAGATCTGCATCAAAGAAAAAGACATTCACAAGATTGCTTTTAGAATCTACTATGGATACTATGAATTCTTAGTTCTCTTCTTTAAATTAACCAATTCTCCTGCCACCTTTATAACTTTGATAAATGATACAAAAATTATGGCCCTCCAACAACTTCTCCAAATTAGTTAGAAAAAAATAACTAATTTAACACTAAAAAACTGAAACTCCCTATACCAACAAGTAGAGTAGCTTCTAAATAAACATTATAATATCTCACATCCCAATATAGAATATATAAAATAATATTTTAACACTTATAGTATGACATACAAAGTTAATACAAACAACTCAACAACTCAAGGTTACACTTCAAATAATAAACAATTATAGAACAAGACAAAAAATAAAACATGTAATTAATAAAAAGATAGACTTACTTTATGGCATCTAATAAAAAATCATGATAAATTCAATAATAAACAGATTTCAGCATCATATTATTATAGACAAACTAATCATAACAGATCTCTCAATTACCATTACTACAAATCCAATATAAATTAATCAAATTGAAAAGGATTACTTTGTAAAATGAACAAAAAAAAGAAACACATATGATATTTAAAACTAGTCTCAATGAATAGAAACATATATACCCAAACAAAGTATAAAAACTCACTGGTATTCTGATATACTCGCACTCTTCACAAACATAGAAATTCAATTAGTTATTAAATCTAAAACAATGCCTCTATATCTGGTCCTTCACAAATTTTATATATTGTATACAAAAATTTGGAGCCATAAGTAATTTAATTTATAATAGATCTCTTCAATAAAATTCTATATACAGGTATAATTCCCACTGAATGAAAAGAAGGTTCAATTTATTTAATCCAAAATCAAAGTCCTGGAACAATGATATTAGCCTTATCAAATCTATAATATTGTTAAAAATTTGTCAAAAAATTTTCATAAAATGTATCAATAACAGGCTTACAAAAATTTTTCAACAATTTCCTATTCTATTACTACTCAATTGGATGGCTTTCCCTAGATGCAGCATACAAGAATCCATTTATATTATTCAAATCATTATTGAACATGCCAAGCAAGACTCTCAATAGATATAGATATTGAACTAGGATATGAGCAAAGCATATGACTCAGTATTCATCCAGATGCTTCAAAAATTACTACATAGAATTAAAGTTTTAATAAAGATTATAAATATAATTATCAACTTATTTCAACACTTACAAAACACAGTACTCATCTCTTTAATTCTATAGATCTCTATGAAGTAGAAGATAGTATTGATCAAGGTAATACCATATTCCTACTTCTGTGAAAAATCTTTTATAATCCTCTTCTCACCACAATATTCGATAAATGCAAAGACTATACCATCATATTTCAAAGCTGCTCAGACATCAGAACAGATTAGGCATTGATTACATGGACATTATTACCAGTACATATATAGATTATACAATATAGTATATAAATAATCAACAAGATTTTCAACACATCTTAAACACTGTACAAGAATTTTATATCCTTAATAACATCCAGATCAATCCAACTAAATCTGCACTACTCATTATTAATGGTATATAATTAAATAGAATCCAAGGAGTTATATTCGATAATCAAATTATCCAAGACTTTATATCAAATATATCAACTAAAATTTTAAGAATATGTATGGTATATATCCAAAGGCAATAAATGATACCAAGTACAACTAATGAAAGAAAAAGCCAACAGAATTGCAAATCTTATGAAATTCAAAAAGATTACAGAAAAACAAGCAAAATATATCATCAACTATATCCTAATTTCAGCCCTAGAATTCTTCTTAACTGACATGATATTTTTAGAAACAATGTATAACAAAATTATATCACAATGCTATCAATATTTTAAACAAAAAGTAGGCTTAGCAAGATCAGTCCCAAACAACATACTCTTCAACAAATTCGAATACAACATTATCAATTTATTTGAAAGATAAGTATAATTATATGCAACAAATTTCATCTCTAGAATCAACAAACCTTATCTAGTAGGATAAATAATATTATTTAGATTTCAACAACTTCAAAATGACTTCTGGTCCCTCAATCCAGTCTGTACTTACTTAAATAAGACAATTCACAAACCATGCACAAATCTTACTTACAATATTATTTGACTACTCAAACAAGTTAACATATTAATTTAACATCTCAAATCCATTACTCTAATAAAAAAATATAAGATATTCTAGAAAAATATCTCAGTACAAAATGGATAAGCATGCTAAGAAAACAACTACAAAAATATAATATCATGTTTATTTGTCAAATCATGAATGAAGATTGCATTAGAATCCTGTCTTGGAATTATATTTCAAAATATCACAAGAAACATATTACATATATCTTTGGATAGTTTATAAACATAACAGAAACTATACAACAACTCATAAATCTAAACTTGCTAAACTTTATAGAAACCTGCAAATCCTTTCACTAACACAAAACAGTGATACATCCTATATTTAAGCATTGGGCCTTAATAACAAACAGAAATGTTGAAACAATTGATAGAAAACAAAAAAACATATAAGGAAAGATAGTCTATGCATATTACAAGCATATAACAAGAAACTCACTACTAGAACCTTGCAGTGAATGCTCAGTCAATAAATCTCTTACTCAAATACAATAATATGTCTTCTTTAGAACAAAGTTCCAAATTTAATAGATTCCAATTACATATAGTTACAAAAGCCTTAATGATATATTAAACAATAATCCACACTGAAGAGTCCAGATCTCAGTATACAGTACTCAATGAATTATAGAATACATAAATACAAATAGAATAACACAATCTTCTTCAGTTCAAGTATATATTGACTATTAATAAGATAAACTCATTATCTTATATAACCAAATTACAAGAGACACTAGACTACTTCAAGAGCTTTTCAATATCTCTACAACAAATGAATAACATTACCAATTCATAGCATATGCAAACAGATCCTTGAACTACTTCAATATATTTACCTATATAGAATTTGGCTAGATCTTTACTAATCAATTCAATTAACATTATATATTTAAAGAGCAGATACAAGGCCTACTATCCTCAACCAGAACAGAATTAATGGCAATTTTCATAATAATTTCTACAATTCTCAAAAATGCTACAATTGCAATCTATATAAACAGTTAAGCAGCTATCAATGCAATAAATAAAGTCACATATACTCCAGCCTATAAAACTATTAAAACATCAGAAATTGAAATATTATACTCAATATTATATAAAGATACAAGAATTATTGAATTCAACTCTTCCTACATAAAATAAAAGTATACACAGGTATCACAAGCAATAAAACAATTGATCAACTGACAAAAATAAAATACATTAACATGATACCAGATCAAAGAGAACTCAATCTCACCATCACTTCATAAAATAATCTATATTATGCCACATAAAGACATAATATAGTAGACATATCAATCAAAGATTTCTGTAAAACAGTATTTCACATTAAACATTTAGTTCAATGGAGACTCTTTAGAAGAAATAGAATATGTATCGATATGCAAAAAAACAAAATTGTAGACTGGCAAAACATTTTCAACTGCCTCAACCTCAGTAACATTAATTATAGAAATATATCTACAACTGATCACAACTTTTGAAAATTTGTAATCAATCTTTGAAATTATGAACTACCCACTACAACCAAACTGAACTGATATAAATTATACAAATACAGAAACAAAAATTGCATCAATGTCAAGAAACAGTAACTACTTCTTATATATTTTTATGTATCACAATATAGTAAACATATAGATGAAAACTAACAAGCATCTTTATATATAATTTGAAAGACTGCAAAGTATCTATTTCCACTTTTTCTCTTTACCATATAATAGTGACATGTCTTTTAACAAATCTGATCAAGCAATCTCAAATCTTATCAAAAGTATTATCAAGAAAAACATTATCCTGACAATTGACAACTATACTGGTTCATACACAATAATATAAGCAATACTTCAAAAATACATAAATCAATATAGAAATTTTTTACATTTAATATGGAAGAAATACTACAAACATACTATAGAATGAGAAATAACAAATAATATTACCAAAAAAGACAAGCAATCTAAAAGCCATACTTAAATACAACTATTATCAGATATCATATTATCTGAACTACTAATCAATGATTAATATGTAGACCTTATCAATCACTACATAGATTGATTATTTAAAGGAATCATAAATTTATTCAAAAATTTTTCTTTTTCTTTCTCCTCTAATTTCAACACTAATTAGCCATTCTTGACATGTTAGGTCCTACAGTGGATGGCAATAAGCTAATCAGTAAGAAGGATAAATTCATCTTTAAATAGTTACATTTATATATTAGAAAGATATAAAAATTATAAATAAATAATAATATATATATAATGAATCTTTTTTGCAAATAAAAAAAAATAGGCCAATTATAAAAAAAAAAATCTAGAAAAATAGTTTTTTTATAATAAATAGATTAATATGTAATAGTCAAAAAAGTTTATAAATACCTAGTATATATACAATAAAATATAATATATTAATCTAACTATAGATTAAAAAAAAAATAATTATAATATATAATT